GACAACGTGACCATGTCACAACGTGACACAGCATCATGGTGACAACATCACAACGTGACACAGTGTCACAATGTGACACAGCCTCACGGTGACAACGTGACCGTGTCACAATGTGACACAGCCTCACGGTGACAACGTGACCATGTCACAACGTGACACAGCATCATGGTGACAACGTGACAATGTGACACAGTGTCACAACGTGACACAGCCTCACGGTGACAATGTGACCATGTCACAACGTGACACAGCATCATGGTGACAACGTCACAACGTGACACAGTGTCACAACGTGACACAGCCTCACGGTGACAACATGACCATGTCACAACGTGACACAGCATCACGGTGACAACGTGACCATGTCACAACGTGACACAGCATCACGGTGACAACGTAACAACGTGACACAGTGTCACAACGTGACACAGCCTCACGGTGACAACGTGACCATGTCACAACGTGACACAGCATCACGGTGACAACGTGACCATGCGACAACGTGACCATGTGACAGTGTGACCATGTGACAGTGTGACACGGTGCCGATGTCACGCCGTCCCCACGCCCCCCCCAGGCGCGGGCGGCCCCACGTTCACGGTGGGGAAGTCGGTGTGGCTGCTGTGGGCGCTGGTGTTCAATAATTCCGTCCCGGTGGAAAACCCGCGCGGCACCACCAGCAAAATCCTGGTGCTGGTCTGGGCCTTCTTCGCCGTCATCTTCCTCGCCAGCTACACCGCAAACCTGGCCGCCTTCATGATCCAGGAGGAGTACGTGGACACCGTGTCCGGGCTGAGCGACAGGAAGGTGGGGCTGGGGGGGTTATGGGGGGTTATAGGAGTTATAGGGGGGTTATGGGGTGTGAGGTTATGGGGGGATATGGGGGGGATGTGGGGGATGTGGGGTGTGGGGTTATGGGGGGCTATGGCAGCCGCAGAGCAGCTATGGGGCAGCTATATGGTGTCTATGGGGTGTCTATGGGGCAGCCGTGGAGCAGCTATATGGTGTCTATGGGGTTTCTACGGGGCAGCCGTGGGGTGTCTATGGGGTGTCTATGGGGTATCTATGGGGCAGCCATGGGGTGCCTATGGGGTGTCTATGGGGCAGCCGTGGGGTCTCTATGGGGTGTCCATGGGGCAGCCATGGGGTGTCTATGGGGCGGCTATGGGGCAGCTATGGGGCAGCCGCGGGGCGGCTATAGGGCGCTGCGGGGCAGTTCCAGCGGCCGCAGGAGCAATACCCGCCGCTGCGCTTCGGCACGGTGCCCAACGGGAGCACGGAGAAGAACCTGCGCAGCAATTACCCCGCCATGCACCGCCACATGGCGCCGTACAACCAGCGCGGCGTGGAGGACGCGCTGCGCCATCTTAAGGCGGGGTGAGGGCGGGGCCTGGGCCGGAAGGGGCGGGACGTGGACCGGAAGGGGGCGGGGCTTGGACCGGAACAAAAGTGGGCTCGGAATGCAATGGGGTCGGAAGGAGGTGCTGCCCGGATCGGAAGGGGCGGGGCTAGGACAGGAAGGGGGCGGGGCACGGACCGGAACAGGGGAGGAGAGGGGTCCGAATTGAGCCTGGAAGAGGCGGGGCCTGGGCAGGAAGGGGCGGGGCGTGGACCGGAACAGGGGTGGGATGGGAATGCAGTGGATAGGAAAGAGGCGTGGCTTGAACCGGAAAGGCGGGGGCCAGGACCGGAAGGGGGCTGGGCGTGGACCGGAAGGGGCGGGACCTGGAACGGGGGGGGGTGTTAAGGGAGGCTGGGCGGGGCTTATGCACAGGGGGCGGGGCCTACGAGCGGGGGCGTGGGCTGTGGGCGTGGCTTATGTATCTCCCCCTTATGGGCCGGGTTCTCTCCACGATGGGCGGGGTTAAGTGCGAGTGGGCGGGGTTTGACCCAGATGGGCGTGGCCTGCGAGATGTGGGCGTGGCTTTTGCCTCCCTCTCTCCCCTATGGGCCGGGTTCTCTCCACGGTGTGCGGGGTTAAGTGCGGGTGGGCGGGGTTTGTGCCCAAGGGGCGTGGCCTATGAGTGACGGGCGTGGCCTGGGACTTGTGGGCGTGGCTTATTCTCTCCCCCCCCATGGGTTGAGTTCTTTCCACAATGGGCGGGGTTAAGTGCGGGTGGGCGGGGCTTGTGCCTAAGGAGGCGTGGCCTACGAGCGGTGGGCGTGGCCTGCGAGTTGTGGGCGTGTCCTCAGGCGATTGGACGCCTTCATTTACGACGCGGCGGTGCTGAACTACATGGCAAGGAAGGACGAGGGCTGCAAGCTGGTGACCATCGGAGCAGGGAAGGTGTTTGCCAGCACCGGCTACGGGCTGGGGCTGCAGAAGGGCTCACGATGGAAGAGGGCCATGGACCTCGCGCTGCTGCAGCTGCTGGGGGACGGTGAGGGGGGGGGAT